TAAAATAATGTTGGAAATTCTTCACTACGTCATCAATAAGTGGTTGTATTTTATCCCAACGTTTTCTGTTGTCTGGATCTGTTTGACAAATGTGTAGCAGAGTGTGATAAAGAAGCAAAAATTCTATTTTTCATTCTCTATTCATTGCAGATTTTTAAAAAATGGAACAGAAGAAATCCAATCAGTAAGCCAGTATGACTGTATGGATGGTAAACGAACAATGCCCATATTCATATTAATACCAAAAAATAAATACAGTTCAGCACAACTAGTGTCTCTCCATTCCCGCAATCTTGATCGTGGCTTTAAAACATCAGTAACCTTATCCGTTGCATATCTATTTATTTCCAAGACTAATTTTTATACGCCCACATGAAATAGGGGGCGTATATTGTCATCACCCATATCCGGCGGTCCGTCCTGCGGTCCGGCCATCCACAATTGCTCGTAAACACTCTACAAGACACAATTCTTGACGGATTTTGACAAAACTTGGTATGAGTGTTCGTAATCACCCAAGGATGAACCCTATAGTAAATCAGAAGAATTGAAAAATATTTACTATATGTTATTGCCCTTGTTATTGAAAATGCGTTCAATTATTAGCCCGTAAACACTCTAGAAGGGACAATTCTTGACAGATTTTAACAAAACTTGGCATGAGTGTTGGTAATCAACCAAGGATGAACCCTATTGAAAATCAGAAGAATCAAAAAATATTTAGTATGAGTTATTGCCCTTGTTCTTGATTACGCGTTCAATTTTAGCTCGTAAACACTCTAGAAGGCACAATACTTGATGGATTTTGACGAAACTTGGCATGAGTGTTTGTTATCACCATGGATAAACCCTATTGAAAATCAGAAGAATCGAAAAATATTTAGTATAAGTTATTGCCTTGTTCTTGAAAACGCTTTCAAATTTAGCTCTTAAAAGGCATGATTCTTGCTGGATTTTGACAAAACTTGGTTTCATTATTCGCTAAAAATTGAATATTTGCCTTTCACGAGCTAAAAATTGAACACGTTTTCAAGAACACGGGAAATAACTCATACTCAATATTATTCAGTATCGCTCAGAGTTCAAAAGAAGTGTATGACTGAAGGTTGAATATTTCATACTGGTGATTGTTACTGTACTGCTAAATATTTTTATTCAAAATCAAAGCTGCTACTGGGCGTATATTACCTTGCCTGGCAAGCTATCTTTCAACAATATCTTCACTCATCAATAATTTAAAAGAATCCATAGGCTCTGCATCATCATTCAACAAATTTTCTTGAATATTTCTTGGCCCTGGTTCATTATTAGGTCTAAATCTAAAACCTCTTGGAACATATGAATCAATGTTATGGACATCAACCCATTCATATGAGAGCGCAGCTCTCGCGACAGCAAAGCCATGGTAACACATACATATACATCAATTCGTTTCAGAAAATTTATGCCCCACAGGTAGTAAAAAAAAAGTGAGAAAAAAGATGGCGGATCATGGGGGCCGCCATGTTTGTTGACAACTAGATCGCAGTCAATCGGGGTAGTTTCGGAGTGAATGTTTTGGAATTCTTTCAATAAATTACGACAATTGTTTCAAACACAGAAAGGGATTTTTTGTACCAACTTAACAACCCTTACGTTTTATTTCTATTTTTCCTGGACATTCTATGCGTCATAAGGAATAAAATGACAGGTTTGACCTAATTTCCCAAGACTTTCTCCCAAGCAATGATGGCGGCTTTGTTGACATCATACGTCACGTTATAATGACGTCATCGTTATAGATGATTACTTTCACACCTTAAAGAAGTTTCTTTAGATACTTTATAAAAGATTGTCTACAGAATTTCGTTTATTTGATTATTATTAATTATTGTTATTTTATCAATAACCTGCTCTCTCATTCAAGGCCATGCCTTCATTCATATTAATTATAATTAGGCTTACTTTTCTTCTTGGCAGGTGTCTCATCACTGTTGACGTTGTCGATGTTTGTGTCTTCGATTTGCGAATCGTCATTTTCCTCACTTTCTTCGCTCTCTAGTGATTCACCTGGAGGCCTATTTTCTTCATCTGATTCACTATTGGAAGAACTGGAATTTGTAACATTATCCAATTTTGAATCAAGAAACTTGCCCGCTCAGCAGGGTACGTAAAACGTTTCTGATGGCTTTCGCCCGACATGGGCGTAGCCATTGTTGTTTTAACAGAAACAAAACAAGCAGACGACCGACCTTCAACTTTGCATAAATCATTAGATAATGAGTCTGAGGTCAACCAATTATTACCTTAGAATAGGGGAACTCCTCTGATGTCATTAAACCATGTTTATATTTAGTAACTCGTGAATTTTTAACAGTTAATATGTGTCGAAAGTGAAAGACGCGTTTTCCGCAAGTTAGAACGTTATTTTTTGGACGCGTTAAGGCGTTTTACGCATGGACAGGGTTAATGCGGAAAATACGTCATTTGTGCCTAACAATATTAATATTATGCAGCAGTGTGTGGCCTATGCCCCTATGGCTGTAACTATGATGGAGGGAAGGCAGCAGGGTTTTAGATAACATACTACTTACAACAGTAAACATCGTGTCAGAATAAGATATACCTATGCCCAAATAAGCTGTGCCCATTACATAGATATTATGGATTTAATACAATGTTATGATTTGGGGGGGAAATTTCATCTTGATTTTCAATCATTTGTAGACTTTAAACTAAAATCTATCTAAGCAGTTGATGCCTTTGTTTTCCTTTTAAGCACAAAAATATATTTTGACCACCATCCACTTGTTTATTGAATGAAAATGCCCGTATTATATCTTTTTATCAATTCCTAATGGTGAAATAAAATATTTTCTTTTATGATGACTGTGGGATTGCCTGTCTACTCCCGTTTGCCATTCTTGTAGAAAATTATCAGGTAAAGGTTAAAAATTTGGGTCCAGAATATTCTATCCTTTAACAAATTCACAATTATTTGTGCTGAAAGATCCCGATGTAGTTGTAGCCTAATTAATAAACTTTGGAACAAGAAAAAATGTTCAACTCACGGGAACTAACAAACATTGGCGAATGTTGAGGTTAATGGACATTTTACATTGCTACTGCAACTGGGTGTTCAAGACTTCAAGAAACTTGGCCAGGTGAGTTGTGCGAAGTTGTTGTACTAACTGAAGATTAAAAACAACTTTGTTCTAAGAAATTCAATCAGCAAATGCCTCTTCTTTTTAATTTCATTGTGAGACAATGACTGTTGACAACCATGCCGCATTTCCAATATGCATATCGTCTTGCTCTTCAGTACCTGTGTCATTTTCTGAGTGAAAGTGAAGATCTGAAAAATCTGAATGAGAATCCTTGTCATTTTCAAACACTTTCGAAGTGTTTTTCATATACAAGCTGATCTTCAATGGTTGATATATAAATAAGAAATTAAAGCACTTAAACTGTTCATTAAAGTATAGGGCTTTGTTGCTTTCAGTTTAAATACAGCTAGGCCTAGTGCTCTATTTACTTCAGTTGGACACAAATGATGTCGTGCAAACACATGATCACCTAGCGCAGGTCTGTGCAACCTAGTCCATGGGCCAACTGCAGCCTGTTAGATGATTTCGTGTGGCTGACGGCATCATGTAAAATTTGGGGGGAAATGCAAATGCTTCGTTTTCTCTTGTCACTATCGTTGTGACCAGCAGATTGTCGTTGCCTATTCTGATATCCATTTATCAGCGCTGTTATATCGAAGTATGATGTCAAATGGAATCTAACCAATCAAATCGTAAGCGAGGTCTGACCTTCACTTATCTAGGCCAATAGGCCTATTAGTTGGCAGAATTATACCATGCATTTTTATATTGCAGTCGCCCCTGTCCGTTTGTGGGTCTGTCGACATTTCTTGTGAACACAATAGAGACTACAGTTTTCAAATGATTTTAATGAAATTTAGTGTGATCATTTATATTAATGAATTTGATGATCTTTCATTGAACGGTAATCGAGTTATTGCCCTTGACTTAGGAAAAGCGTGTCAAAATTAGTATGTGAACACAATCGAGACAATAGTTTTCAACTGATTTTAATGAAATTTGGAGTGATCATTTCTATTGATGAGAACTTGGACAAGTTCTAATTTGATCGTATTTCGATGAACGATCTTTGAGTTATTGCCCTTGACTTAGGAAAAGCAGGTCAAAATTTGTTAGTGAACACATTAGAGACTACAGTTTTCAATTGATTTTAATGAAACATGGTGTGATCTTGTATATTGATGCCAACTTTTAAAATTTCAGTAATATGAGAAAATTCATACTTTAGCCTTAAAGACTATTTTATCATTTCTGACAGCTGCCAGTGGGCGTATGTTATCTTGCCTGGCAAGCTATCTTTACACAAAGCGATTTGTTTGTTGAATTCAAGTTGACGTTATACATGTCGAGATAGGAACTCTGTTGAAGAATGGCAAATGCCGGAATTTACAAAAAGAAGAGGGAAGTAGAGAATGTAAAAATGTGCTTTCAAGAACGATCGACTTAGGAATATTTCTTCATCGAAGGGCTGGATAAGCTGCCTTCATGTCTCCTTTGAAACGAAAATGTGAGTGTCACTAATGTCAAGCGACATAACGAAACAAAGCATGCTCGAGGAGATTGTGGACAATTAGAAAGGCCTCAGAGGGACCAGAAAATACGACAACTGAAAGAAGGTCTCAACACACAGGGAAGTATGTTTCAGAAATTACGAAGTGACAATGAAAAGGTTGTTCACGTAAGTTTCAAAATTTCACAGCGAATAGAGAAATGATTGAAAAAGCCTTCAGATGGTGAATTTATAAAGGAATGTTTACTAGATGTTGCAGAAGAAATATTCCCAAAGCTTGTGGCGGACATTGAGAAGATGAGTCGCGATGGACAGCTTTACAGCATATCAACGATCTAGTTGAGGATGTTCATATAACTCTGAAAGACAAAATACGAAATTTCACCAGTTTGAGCCTCTAAACCGATGAGATTACTGATTGTAAGGATACGACACAGTTGGCTATATTCGTGAGAGATGTCGACGAGCATCTAAATGTAACAGACAAGCTCTTATCTTTACAATCTATGAAAGACACCACCACTGGACTTGATATCCTTACTGAAGTACTAAAGGCAGCCGAAAAATTCAATCTCGATCGGTCTACTTTTGGCTGAGTGGAGGAAAAATGTCGAAAATATTTTTTGACTTCCATGAAGATATCAGGATATTCTTTGAAAGGAAGGAACACCCAATGTTGGAACTAGGTGACGATGAATGGATATGTGACTTTCTCGTGGATATCACAACTCACCTGAAGTGTAGGACACTGGATAATACAAGGGGATATTCAACCGTTGATCACCTTACATGATCTAACACAAAAATATTTTTCTTAGGGGGAAGTAAATTGTATAATCTGTAATGTAAAAGTTGTGTTGGTGGCTTAACACTTTAAGGGCCATGTATGGTTCAGTCTCTTCATGTGTTAAGATAGGTTCAATTATCACTGAATATTTCCAGTGTCTTTCTGGTGTATGGCAAGGTTGTATGTTTAACCCTTTGCTTTTTTGTCTGTACAACAGCCAATTATTTTCGATTTTGGAAGATGGCAATATCCAAGGCATTTTACCTAGATATTCTTATGCTCCTTTATGCAGATAATTTAGGAATTGTCTCTGACACGGGATTTCCAAAGAACAATTCATATCCTTGAAATGTTCTGTGAAAAATTTAATTTGTCTCCTAATATAGGAAAAACAAAAGTAATAGGTTATCGAAATAGGGGAATAATTAAGAGTTATGGAAAGGTTTATTTTCGTCCAGATTATGCTGGAGAAAAGCAATATATAGCCTTTCAATTAAAAACTGAAAGGCATGATTCCAATTCCTTCTTGTGGAAAACAAATCCACCAGTTGAGATGTCTTTTAGAATATTTGATGCAGTCATAAAACCAGTTCTCTTCAATGTTCCCAGGTATGGGGATGTGAATATCTAAAGGACATAGCAAATTTTGAAAATTTATTTTTGGAATTGGGAAATCAAGCTCTGTTTGTGGTGCCTTAGGAGAATGTGGTAGGTATGACTTGTCCATATCATAACATACCATGTTTAAAATATTGGTTAAAACTTTTGAAAATGCCAAACACCAGGACGCTTAGGGTCTAAACTACTAACGCTGTTTCTGATATATCTGCTAAAATTGTTTTGGACAATAAGCGGCCAGGTATCTCAAACAAATTTCTATTATGTTGTGTAGGGCTGGATAAACTTATCGAAATAATTGATTAATGTTTCTAGGAATATATAATTTCCGTTATCAATTATCAAATTTCATAATCGATTAAATGTCACAGTTAAATTTCTCCACTGTACCCGTTAACAAGTAGTAATTTCTTCCACACAGGTTCCCTTCAGCACATAATTTACCCACAACAAGCTACATAATATAGCAAGAATATACTTCTATGACGCAAAATAACCCATGAAATTAAGAATTTTCTGCATGTTTTATACGCCCACATGAAATAACTCAATAGTATTCAGTATCCCCCTAAAGAGTTCAAAAGAAGTGTATGACTGAAGGTTGAATATGTCATACTGGTGATTGTTACTGTACTGCTAAACATTTTTATACGCCCACATGAATATGTGGTCGTATATTGTCGTCGCCCGTCCATCAACAATTCTTGTGAGCACTATAGAGACTACAGTTTTTATCTAATTTTGATAAAACTTGGTGTGATGCTTTAGATTTTTATACGCCCACATGAATATGTGGTCGTATATTGTCGTTGTCCGTCCATCAACAATTCTTGTGAGCACTATAGAGACTACAGTTTTTATCTAATTTTGATAAAACTTGGTGTGATGCTTTAGATTGATAAGATCTCAGTCAAGTTCGAATTTGACATATCTTTGATGAACGGTTTTTGAGATATTGAAATTTGTTAAAAATTGTTCGTGAGCAGGATTGAAGCTGCAGTTTTCATCCGATTCTGATGTAACTTGGTGTGATCATTGGAATTGATAAGATCTCGGACAAGTTCTAACTTCACGCATTTTCGATGAACAGTTTTTGAGTTATTGCCCTTGACTTTGTTAAAACGCGTCGAAATTTGTTAAAAATAGTTCATGAGCAGGATTGAAGCTGCAGTTTTCATCCGATTCTGATGAAACTTGGTGTGATCATTGAAATTGATAAGATCTCGGACAAATTCTAACTTCACGTATTTTCGATGAAATGTTTTTGAGTTATTGCCATTTACTTTCGGGCAAGTTCTAACTTGATGCATTTTTGATGAACGGTTTTTGAGTTATTGCCCTTGACTTTGTAAAAACGCGTCAAAATTTGTTTGTGAGCACAATAGAAGCTACAGTTTTCAACCGATTTTGATGAAACTTGGTGTGATACAGGGTTTCTCAATTGAATTATTTCGATTATTCATTATTGATCAGTAGTCTGCCATTGATATGCGATCTCAATTTGGTAATTGATACCCCGCCCTAATGTTGTGTCGCTCAATTAATTATGGCAGGAATTACAGCAACTGATATTAGAAGTTAATTCCCAATATTAAAACCGATTTTGATGAAACTTGGTGTGATCATTGGAATTGATAAGATCTCGGACAAGTTCTAACAAGAGATATTTTTGATGAACATTGAGTTATTGCCCTTGACTTTGTAAACACGCGTCAAAAGTTGTTTTTTGCCCCTGATAAGAACTGTGTGATTTAATTGTTTGTTGTATTTGGGTTATTGATATTGATTTTAAAAAATTTTGTGGAATTATTCAGTGGGCGTATGTTACCTTGCATCGCAAGCTATCTTTATTCAAAATCAAAGCTGCCAGTGGGCGTATATTACCTTTCCTGGCAAGCTATCATTAAAGTAGTATTTACAGGGTTTCTCAATTGAATTATTTCGATTATTCATTATTGATCAGTAGTCTGCCATTGATATGCGATCTCAATTTGGTAATTGATACCCCGCCCTAATGTTGTGTCGCTCAATTAATTATGGCAGGAATTACAGCAACTGATATTAGAAGTTAATTCCCAATATTAAAACTAAAGTTTAGGGATATAAACATCCAAGATTAGTCAGCCAAAATTAAGGACAGTGAAAGTGACTATAGTAATTTCAGATTTTGCTACCGCAAAGTCCCATTTTGTAATCGAAATTTCCTTAATTTTTTCTTTTTATACGCCCACATGAAATGGGGGGCGTATATTGTCGTCACCCATGTCCGTTGGTCCGTCCGTCGGTCCGTCTGTCCACAATTGCTCGTAAAACTCTACAATTCACAATTCTTGACAGACTCTAGAAGGCACAATTTTTTTGTTCATAATCACAATTTACAATAGATGTCATTATTTTCCTGAGAAACTATTTTGGTTAACAAATAAGAAAATTTAATTTAATCATTTAACATGTCCCTAACCAGCCACCATACATGTACAGCATCATAAGATACTATAAATAGACCAAGTGGAAAATCCAAGACAGATATCCAATCATAGCTTAGTCATGTGACATCCCAAGATGCAGCAGTTTATCTGATTTCATTTTATAAATGTCATTCAAGAGAAAAGGTTTGCTTAATCATTTCATTTTCACCAATCGTGCTGATACAAAAATGAAATTAAACATGGGTCATAGGGGAAAGGTTTTGTTTCTTGGAAGATTGAATTGAGTTGCTGGATAAGTAGGCTACTATAGGAAAAATATTTAGTATGAATTATTGCCCTTGTTCTTGCAAACCGTTCATTTTTTAGGTCGTAAACACTCTAGAAGGCACAATTCTTGACAGATTTTGACGAAACTTGGTATGAGTGTTCGTATTCACCCAAGGATAAACCCTATAGAAAAATCATGGAAATCAAAAAATTTTTATTCTACAATTTTCGAACAACATGTAGCGACGTTAGCAACCAACAGAAAACGGGCGCTAGTAGGAGTACAATTGTACTTCTTGTAACAATGGACAAATGTTGACAGTTGAAAACAAATTTGATTTTCGCTGCCGAAATTAATCGAAATATACTATTTCAGTGTTTCTATTTGTCGGACAGATTTGAGACTTATGTAGTGTAGTGCCATTTATATCTGATATGTGTAATTTTGGTGTCAAACGATACGATAAATGTATTGTCTACAATTTGTGGGAAGCAAAAGTTTGAATTTCGGTTTTGCCTTATTTGTACGACCAGATGTATTTTTTCAAAGTTTCAAGGCCTTGATCCAAATTTCTGTCCACCTTCATATGTTCAAAATATAAAAAATTAGCTCTTGAAAAATTAAGAAAGTTGAAAATTCTTCGCTCACTTTTTTCTATCAAATTTTTCAACTTTTTTGCAACTTTTTTTATTTTTGCATCGAACAGAAATTTAAAATGCAAAGAGACTTCATTAATGTAAATGATATCGTACCTTTATAAGGTCAAAGGTTATTAGCCTTGGCTATCACTTGATACTTTGACATTTGACATCTACTTCCTGTTATATAGCTGTCCAAAAAACATCCAAATTCGCAACTTTGGACTGCTCTAGCACGTAACCTTATTGACCTAAAGGGTTAAACTTTTGGAATTTTTCATGCTCTTTCCAGTGATATATAACAAATGTTTTTTAAAGCAAAATTGGTGATTTTTTTAAATTTAAGTGTTTTTTTTACAATATTTTTGTCTCTTTGAGCTGAGTGTATGCATATCTTATGACCTTTTTGATGTAAAAGCTTGAAATTTGGAACATATCTAACCATTTTTAAAATAAATTAACATGTGACAAAAAAATTTAACAAAGTTTAGAATTTTCATATTTTCAATTTTGAATCATGACTTCATGAAATTTGTGCCTGACATTTTTCAGACAAATTTTGCAATTTTGACACAAAAAAAAACTTGTTTGTGTTAACAGCTCAGTTGTTTCAGCTTTATAGTTCCAAAAAAGGAACAGGTTTTAGAATTTCCATATTTTCAATTTTTGACATTTGACCTTTGTTGACCCATATCTTTTGACCTGTATGATGAAAAAGCTTTAAATTTGGAACACAACATAATAATTTGAATATCAATTAACATATGCCAAATATAACTAGATGGGTGTGGCACATCTGGGTTAAATTACTCATTATTGACATTTTTGGCCAGGGGCATAACTCGGAGAGAATACA